AGTGTGGCCTTCTGCCTCATACTCACTTCAAAATTAACCAATCAAAAAGAGACAGGCGTGATTAATCATGAAGAAAAACCACTGTGCCAGCCCTTTTTTCCAAAGTGTCTCAGGTGCATTATAGGTTATGTGCTCTGTCTGTCCATATTGCTTTTCACTGCGTGTGATCCTTGCTGTTAATTGCAACCATTGATCAGCTGGAGGGCACAAAGTAGACTGCTCCTCTGTGCTCCTGCATCTTGGGTCAATAATCATGTCTCTGTCATGTTGTAGATGCAGTAATAAACTCTTCTCCGGGCAAACTGTACGCAGCTGTATGTTAGAGTTTTGCTTCACTGTGATCAGGTGAACCATTGAGTAGAACAAGTTTTAGTTTTAGAAAACAGTTTGGGTGTGGCTTTTGTGTTATTTTCAGGATAAACATCTTGCTAGGGACATTTTGCATTTTGTTTTCTGATATGAATCTGCAGATAAATAACTTAAAAATTTGTTTTCTTCTCATTTTCAGCCTTGACGCTATTTGACCTCCAGCCCTGTAGGGGGTGTGCTGTTTGCATTCACGATTAGTCTGTAGCCAGATGTTTGTGTTGGCAGTCAAGGTGAAGTGGAGTGAATGAAATGGATGCCCTGGGGGTCCGTTTGCATCCTTTTGTATGCATATGCAAAATTATCGAGAGTAAGGAATCCTGCATGCATGGGATCTATGATTGATCAGGGAGTTGGAGACAAAGCGTGGGGGGTTAAATTGGGGGGTTGATTGCAGCTGATGCAGTGATGTTAATTACCATGAGTTTCCCCCTTGCATTGCAAACATCATTCTCTCACACTCTTTAATTTTCCAAATGCTGGCTTTTAATTAAAGCTACAAAACGAAGACAGGACACCTAATTAAAGAGTCATGCAGGAAATGTCGACACACCACACCGTGTGCTATGAGCAATCATTGGTTCTTCCGGATGTAGTCTGTGGATGACCCTCTTATGTTTTGTAGAGGAATACAACCTCTTGCAAACTAAGGCCTAATTCAATCATTTGTATCTCTGTTACAGTATTCCATTCTCTCACACCTTAGCTTGATATAATACAGCTCCTATTACAGATGGCCTATTCTTTAATCATATGCCCACATTCATGCTCAGTTCAAACAGCGACACTGGTGTGACAAAGTCGTTTGTTTTGGCAGAACCTCTACTTAGCAAATGAATAGAGCTGTGCAAACGTGAATGGTAATTATGAGGGATGTATGAAAACAGGAAACCAAGCACAAACAAACATTAAAATGGCATATTGCGTTGGGGGGGAATAAGGTGCCCACCCCCGCTCTCTGGGTGTATTTATGTGTGCTGTGTTTTGTTGTCTCCTTGTTATTTTTGTTTGCACTGTTCTCATTTCTGTCTCCTAGTCCTCATATTCTCCCTCCCTCCCTTCCTCTCATTTCTCTGTTTACCAGCCTTCGCTGTACCTCCCCCTCGTTTCGTCCACCTGCCCCCTGGCAGGTCTGTGGACATCCATCCTGGATCCCCCTGGTGAGTCACAGGGCTCTGTGACCAATGTAAGCCATTAACCTAACGCCACGGAAGATTACGATCAGCGTGGCATGTTGTTAAAGCGGGCGGCTAATTTTCCTTGCTGCCATGGATGAGGGCTTGTAGGTCGAAGATTTTCCATTGAAATACAGGAGATTCTGTAGCCTTGAGAGATCCTTACCTGTTCCAGCAAAATAATCCATGGTATTGCACTTGGGGATGTAGTAAAAATTACTGGTATAAATAAACTTCTCTCCATTTGTCCTGTGAAGGGTGGTAGGTGTCTGGCCAGCGTGAAGGCCGATTCTCTGGGAGCAGCGGTACCTGTATGGTAATAGAGATGCTGGTAGTGTGAAAGCAGGAAGGGGAGTCATGGCTGCTGAGTATGGGCAGGGTGACACTGAGATGCAGTTTACTCATACAGGGGCTCACAGGCACTTGGGGTTACATTTGTGGCTGTGCTGACCCTGTAGACGTCTTCAGGATGTTTTTTGCTGGCTGGTAATGCTATAGACCAATATAGCATTTCCCAGTCCGGTCCTTGGGGACTCCCAGTCGGCCCATGTTTTTGCTCCTTCCGCACTCCCTGCCAGACAGTCCACATTTTTGTGGACTGTCTGTGGGTCCCAGAGGACCGGATTGGGAAACACTGCTATAGAATATCTGAAAATGTTGCAAGCTTGTTGGAAGAAGGCCCCTGGTCAGTTCCAACACTCCATGGCCCTAATATGTTTTTTTTCATTCCTTATCCAGTCTTTTTAAGGCTCTTCCATTGTACATTTGCTTATGCTGTTTTGGGTTGGGCTGTGTGTGTCCTGCTGGTTCCTACTTTGTTCATGCGTTTTTATTCCCCACAGCATATCATTGCAGTCGGCTGATTGCATCACAGTGGAAATCCAGCCTGTTTCTCAATGGATGAACCAACAACGACTGCAGAATCTGATATTTTCAGAACCAAATAAACACAATGCATGTTTCATTTAAAACTGAACAAAGATTTAAACATCAAGATGATGCTAAAAGCACTAAAGCTTCGATATTTATACTGCTTCTGATTTTATAGCTTGGCATACCTCAGTGATGTGAACCCAGATTTTCAGACCTGCAGCCAGGAATAAATTCTGTGGGTGGTCCAGCCATCCTACTGTAGGTATATTTAGCCCCTCCTAGTAAATTTACCCAACCAAGGCACAGGGAGAGGGGGGCTGAACCAAAATTTCAGACTCGTAACTCGACTACCTGTTTTTGTGCCTGTCAGTCTCCTGGATTTTCACATGTTCCTTTGTGGGGTCTGATTTTGTGATTTATTCATGAAGAGGAATTTTGGAACATATTGCCAATGCTGTCCTTCAAATGAAATGAAATTCTCTTCTCATCCTCAGTTAATTCATAATAAAAAAAACCCTCCCCGATGCCCACTTTGTTGAACCAAATAACAAAATAAATTGCAATCTCGCCTGTAAATCAATTCTGTTCAGGGATAAATGGAATATAATTTACTTTCCAAAGCCGCTTTAATAATGTGTTACTAGAACTTACAGACTTTGTGATGCTCTCATAAGCAGCTACTCTCCGACAGACGCTGCTTTTTAGATTCTGTATGGAAGTTTTGCCCAACCCACACTCTCAGAAAAAAGGGTCAAAATTTGTACCTTTGCTGTGGGGCTGTACCTTCAAGGGTCTGCCAATGTACTGTACCCTTAGCTGTAGGTAATTGTACCTTTTACGGTACAGAAATGGACTCTGAGGAACATTTCTGTACTATTGATGGTGCATCGATGCTCTTTGTACCTTTGGGATGTTCCTCAGAGTCCATTTCTGTACTTTCAAAGGTACAATTACAAGGGTACAGCCCCAGTGACAAGCAAAGGTACAAAAGGTACAGTTTTTTTCTGAGAGTACACAGACAGTCCACATTTTTGGTCCCTGCCAGACAGTCTACATTTTTGGTCCCTGCCAGACAGTCTACATTTTTGGTCCCTGCCAGACAGTCCACATTTTTGCTCCCTCCCAGCTCCCTGTCTGTGCATCCCCGAGGACCAGACTGGGAAGCCCTCCTGTACGGCATTGCTGTGTATGTGAGTGTGGCTGGAGTGAATGGGACAGGCTGCCCCTGTATACAGTATATCAGTGTGTCTTTAGGTAGATGCGTATCATGCCTGATTAGTGTGCACATGTATGCTTGATGAATGTCGAATTACTCTGTTTGTGCATATAGATGGTACTGTGTTAAAGTCTTAGGCAGTCAAAGAAAATGTTTAAAGCCATGGATGTAGGTTTAATTTCAACATTTGTAGGGTCCAACTTAGCCCTGCTCCCCTAAACATACACAGCACTCCCACAATATTGATAAGGACTTATAGCGATAGGGGTGATAGGTGGCTCCCTATTGACCATGTCGAATTCTATGCCCTTGTTTAAAGCTGTTCATGTGGGTAGCAAGTATTTATTTGCGCAAAAACAAAACACAGTTTAACATTAGAACTTGTGCAAATTAAGTGTAACACAATAAAAACTAACAGGAATTGCTTCAGTTTGCCTAAAAGTTATGGATGACTAGTTGGATGGGTAGATGAACACCGCTTCATTTCCCAAACCTTCCTTTAGGGGCACTTCAGCCATTCCACGACTTTGTTAAATTTCATCACCAGCTCACTTGATTAATTAACTTAAGTGGTAGCACTTTACTTGACGGGTATTATACTATTACTTATGTATTAATTAACCACAGATGAAGTCTTGATTACATACTGATCTCACATTTTATCTCAAGAAGTTATTATATTTGATACTGTATGTGTTCATTTTATAAACCTTTGTGAACTACTGAAGGAACTATTGAATGCACATATTTGTTCATCATTAATAAATCGTGACGCATCTTTTATCTCAAGTAGCAACTGTATTTATTCATGATTTGTGCTTCAGTAGTAACTGAGTTATTACTAAGTATTTGTGGCCCTGTCAAATAAAGTGTTACAATTTAAGTAGCTTTAAAATGTCAATTAGGTGTTGATTAGCCATACAAAGAGTGCGAGTGTTTGAGTCACAAACATACATGGGTGTACTGGGTGCTTGTTGCAAACACTGGGGTGACTTTAGCAGACAAACATAATATCGTAGTTTTACACCAATATGAATATCATTTAAACATCATTTTCTCTGACTGCATGAGACTTTTGCGCAGTGCTGTACATACCCATGTTTAATGTGACACCAACCCATCTGCGGAAGCAGAAGAAAATGCCCACACAGGCAGTCACTGACATACCAAGATAGCTCTCTTTTAATAGGCGCTTTGAACCGCTTTCACGTTGTTCCCGTTGAATGATGATAAACAGAAAAACTGAGTCACAAAGAAGCAGAGTGGGGCGGGGAGGGGGGGGGGGGGCGCGGCAAGGG